CGGTGCTCCTGGAGCAAAGATCTCCAGGCTCATTCACAATATCGTCTTCCCTCTTAGCTGTCATTGAAGGAATTAGAAGAAACCCCGAGTCCCCGGCAGCTGGAAAGCACAAAGGACCGAGAAGCCAGCCAAGTCATTCAATGCCCCGGGGAGCTGGTGCGTGAATCCCTCTGCTCAGAGGAAACCAGAATTCAATTTTAAGCATTTCAACCCTAACAATGGCTCAAGGGCTTCTTGTTCCCAAAGCAGCCGCGTCTCTGTCTGCAGAGAAGGCCGCGCTAATCCAGCTAAGGCGAGTGCAGCTCCGGCATCCCGGAGAGACCGAGCGAGCAGGCAGGACAGAGGGGCTGGCAAACCGCTCCCGCTCTCCTGGCTGCATTCATCCGAGTGCAAGGTGAACGTGCCAGCGGCGTCGGTGGCCTGTACCTGGCAGGCAGCTCATCAGCATGACAGTCGCCACCTCGCCTCCATGCAGCGGCTTTCGTGGTGAACGTAGCTCCTGGCACTTCATGGAATTAGCAGTCCGGGGCCAGAGCCATGGAAAGGACTCAATCGCAGCTGATAAAACAGAATAAGGAGCCTCCCTCGGTGACCGGGAAGCGTTATTCCAACTGATCGCCATGTTGTCACCGTTTTCCTAAGCACGTCGATGGAACAAGCCAGCTCCCTGCACCCGCTCCCCACAAGACAAGCCTGGGATTTATCCGAACATCGGGTCACACCAGGCATCCAGCACTTTCCTCCAGCTACTGGGAGGACATGCATCCAAAGCACCTTCTGTGCACGATGCCTTTTCCACCCACTTCACTCCAAAACACTCCCAAGGCCGAACCAGAACCTCCTGCTGCTTCATTTCCAAGTCAGGCATCAAAAACGGCCAGACACTATTAGCTTCTCATCAATGCAGATGCACGCCTCACCCGTCCTGTGACCACGGCAGTGCATGAATCCCCTGACAGCAGCAGAGGATGACATCTAGCAGCCAAGGCTGCTTTCGGCCCTGGATGCTGGGTGACAGCTGCTGCCCTCCATGCCCAAAGGAAGAATAATCCTTCTCCGCTCTCAGGCAGGAATATGTTGGTTTTTTTCCCCACCCTTTTCTTCCAAAAACCTCTCCTAGCCCAACAGAGCTCAGAAACGTGTCCTTTTCTCCTCCTTCATGTCCTTATTTATTGCTTTAAAAAGCACCGGGCTGCGATGTGCTGTTTGCCTTCAGCTTGTGCTCCCCGGACAGAGTACCACAGAGGCCAGGGTGGCAGGAAACTCCCAGACCTTAGTTTCACACTGATGGGAAGGGACCGCTGAGGCTCCCAGGGCAGCACATACGCAGTGCAGAATGAGGCAGGGACGGGGCAGGGACGGCTCTGGCTGGGCAGGGTGCTGGTCCATGGCCAGGGCGGCATGGCACAGCCATGCTTGTGAGGGTAAAGAAAGCAGTGCATCTAGAGAAGCAAAGCCATGGGCTTTGAAGGGCAGGGCAGGAGACAAAGACATTCAGGGCCAACACATCAGGAGGTGCAGAGGCTGCCGGGAGACTCCTCAAGCCTGATGCAAATGAATAAGCTGCCTGGGAAAGCTGCCTTCAAGCCCCAGAGCAAAGCAAAGGAGGGGATACAAGAGGTAGCAGCCATGCCTGCAGGCCCCTTCACCCCACTTGGGCAGTGGGAAGGACTTGGAAGAGAGCGCGGCTCCCATCGACGTCTGTGTTAAGGTCTCTTTCGCTGTCCGGATGGTTATAGGGTATGTGTGACTCGGCTGGTATGTACAGATGGGAAAACTGAGGCACTGGGCCCACATACTAAGCCAAGTGGCAGAGCTGGAAACACAAGCCAGGACTCTGGGTTTGCAGTACCGTGACTCCTCCCAACCGCCCAACACACAGATCAAACTTGCACACAAATTCCCTCTGAGCTCCCGGATCCACACGCCCGCTCTGCTCGACGGCACGGATCAGGCATATGCCAAACCTCCCTCCTTTCACGCAGCCATTCAGTCACTGAAGAAGCGGCCTTAAATATTAATGAAATTAACACAAGCTGAACTTTATCGCTGAGCCTCCCTCCGGCAATAAAGTGTTTGCAATAAAGTGTTCGCTGGAATCTCATTCATGCAAACTGTCTCCATTCCCAGCGTTCGGCATGTGCCAGGCAGGCCAGGCTTTGCTCTCTCCTGCTCCAGGAAATCCCGAGGCAAAGCCAAGATACTTGCAGTGGGAGTCATGAGCAAAGGCAGAATTTGTCCCACTGGCACCATCGCCGTTCTCAGTTATTTCCCATCCTTGCTCCAGGCAGAAGCACTGGGATCTCTGGAGTGTAACTGCTGGGGAAGGCAGGCATCTCCACCGCCACTGCGGGATGAACCAGAGAGCCGGGGCCAGCTGCATGCAAAGCCCGGTGCCCTGGAAACCTTCACAGATAATTCAATGACCCCCTTTTTATCCAAGAACAGCCAGACGAGGACAGGCCAGCTGGACAAGGAGAGCATCAGCAAACCACGCCAGCTGTGTGCGCTCCTTAAACCAAGGGTAAGATCAGGGAAGAAGGGGCTGGAGAGCTCCCGCCATCTGTGATGGGTTACAGCTGCCACATCCCACGTCCCAGACTACCTCTGCTGCCTGCACAATCCGCATGTTGGCAAGTAACCCCTCCCCACGGACGCCACGATTATTTCCACCCGTGCCCCCGTGCCCTGCCCCGCTTTGCTCCCCGCTGTGGAAGAAATAGCCTCCGTGCAACCAGGCTGAGATGTCCTGCATCGCATGGTGCTGCAGGTAATGCCCGGCTGTGACAGCTCCCTCCTGCGCCTGCAGCTGCTGAAAGTGCACCCACCCCTGTGCAGACAGCGAGGGCCCCGGGGTGCAGCTGGCCAGGCCCAGCTCAGCAAGAAGAGCTGTGTCCCCCGAGACCCCCGGCCCCGTATCCCTCCCCTGCTGTGAGCAGGCCCTTCCCCGCCCCTGGAGATTTTGGCCAGTGCTTACAGAGTTTGTTTGCAAGGGGAAAGTGCAGGCTGTCGAGGTCCCTGGGGGCTAGACCCGTGCCCTGTGCTGCACTTGGAAACAGCCCTGTGCACCCTCAGCCGCTCATCCGCCTGCCACCCTGGCGACACAGCGTGAACAGCCCCCGCCTTCCCTGCACCCTGGGACGGGAATAGGACCGGGCCCAGAACAAAGTCCCCAGGAGCCAGGCTCTGCCCCTTTGTTATCTGGCTTCAGCCAGGCTCCGAAAGCCCCCTTGGCTGCTGGCTTGCAAACGACACGGCCCTTTGCAGAGATTAAAATGTATTTAATATTCCACAGTCTGGTCTGTACATCACCTCCCGGGCAGGGGTTCAAACCCCAGTACAAAAGCGGGTGGGTACCAAACCTGGCAGTGGTATCAGGGCCAGGCTGCCCCCAAACAGGAGGGACCCAGAGGCATTGCAAAGGGGCTCTCCTGCTCCTCCGTCTCCATCCCAGCCCTCGGCCTCAGCACTCCCCTGGGGCACGCCTGGCACACCGGCTGTCTCACTTCCAAGCCCTCCCTCCACGTGCTTCTGGAGTCACTGCACCAATTCCAGATGTTGCAAGTCCTGCCCGGGGCACTGCAGCAGGGCCACAGCCATGCCGGGGAGCCGCGCCCCAGGGGCAGCTCTCACTCTGGCTCCGGGAAGCAGGCTCCAGCAGCACAAACCACCTTGCCCTGATGGGCACCGGGCGGGATATCCAAAGAGCTGAGCCCCGTGGCAGCTCCTCCACCAGGGCAGGGCGTGGACCCCAAGGCCAAGGGCCTGCACCTGTGTCTTATGACCAAGATTTGCAGCAAGGAGAAGCGGGCACGATGGGGTTTGCCTTCTCTCCCCATAGCCCCTGAGACATGGTAGGAAACGAGGAGCCATCATTTGCCCCGGTAAGGGATCTGAGCTCGCTGCCGACGCCTGGGATGTTCTGGCTTCGTCCTCTTGAATGCAAGGGACTAAGCCCCCTCAGCCCCTCTC